TAAACAACCCCCCCCCAACCACCCTTCAGCCGTCCAACACCGCAGCCGCCTGCACATAACCCCCCCTCCCGCCAACCTCCGCCAAGTGCAACTCATCCCCAAAGAAGATCCTCGACGCCCGCGACCTCGCGCCCGGTCAGATTGGCGAGAACGTCACCACCGTCGGCATCAACCTCCTCGCCCTGGGCAAAGGAACCAGACTACACTTCCTCCCCCCTCCCATCACCACCACCCTTAACGGTAACGACAACGACAGTGGGGCTGAGGATGAGGTGGACCTACAGACGCCACACGCGGTCGTCGTCATCCAGGGGCTGCGCAACCCGTGTCCGCAGATCGACCGGTTCCGGCCGGGCCTGAAGGAGCTGTTTGTTGTGCGGGACGGGGAGCGACGGATTGTGGGGCGGACGGCGGGTGTGATGGGGACGGTGGAGGTTGGGGGGGAGGTGAGGGTTGGGATGAGGGTCGTTGTGGAGGAGGCTGAGGGGGGGTTTGCGGCTTTGGAGTGCGTGTGAGGGGGGGTCACTTTGTGTTAAGGGTTCTGTTGGATTCGCCATATGGAACCTTCTTGCGGATACCAGTGTCAGAAGTTGTGGCGCTTGAAACACGGAAGCCTGGTTGCTGATGCGCTTATGTTAGAGGGGTTCCAGGAGTTGAACCAGAGGCTATGAAAAGGAGGTCAGGGCGATGCCCGCCACTGAGGAAGAAGACAGAACAATCAATCAATTCTTTTCTCCCCGATCTTTCCGTCTGAGTGTCGTTTCAAACAGGTTCAATGGTGTTGACGCTTGGGACTACTAGCTACCCACCAGGGTGGATAGGATATCATGAGGTGTATCCATGGCTGAAAGGCTCAGACTTACAGCAAATGACAAGCCCGTATGAACAATACATGTACCTAGGTATTTAGTTAGGTACCTTACTAATTTGTATTCCAATCCCAACGTTCACTGCATTTCTCACTCAGCACGCAAGTAAACTAATCAACAACCCCTCGCGGCACCCGCTTCATCTACCTGCACGTCGGTCCAGATTTCTTCAAATCCGAGCCGCCATTGCATTCATCTCCCTGGCCCGAGTTTTCACCCGCACCACATAGGTCTGCAGCGGATGAGGAGTTTCCCGCGTCAGACGGCAGTCATCGGCAGCAGCAACCGAGGCGAGATAACGCAGCGGGCGGCTGGTCGAACTAAATCTGGCATCCCGATCTCAGAGCGGCACGTTGGTTGGCCCGCGTGCCCAAGGGGGGTCGGCAGGAGTTTAGCCAAAAGTTCCGAAAAGCCACCACTTCAGTTAATAACCACTGCCTGTCCCATCTCTGGGTCCCCCGTTCTCATAGGGCAGCTCTGAACTGCCTGCCGATCCTGGAACTGCCGCCAAGTCCAGCAGAATTGCCCGGGTTATTGAACCTGACGTAGCAGTACCGATGCCAGACGAACCAAGGTCCATACCGACGACCCATACCCCCCTTAAACCCCTCGAGCTTTTAGCGCCGTTCCGGTCATTGCCCTGTCAGTTACCTGTACCCCAGATTTCAATATAGAGTTAATTCGGAGCACTGCCGAGAATGGGGCCGGATAGTTGCGTGCTGTTGGCGGGAGGGTGAATTGCGCTGCATGAGGAAAAATTCCAAAGGTTGGTTGGGTGCTTTTGTGCGCTGCAGTGCGCGCGTGAGCCCGTCCAGCGCCCGCTTTTTGCCTAGGTAGGTGAGGAGGGCCCCCTTTCCCTTTGCGCCCCGCTCTCCTCTTGTCATCGTCGTCGTCGCCGAGGGCGGTTGCTGTGCTGTTGTTGCCAGCAGCTGTGACCATGTCTTCAGGAAACTTCACTTTTCACATCGACCCCGTACGGGCCGCCGAAAGCAACGCCACTGTTTTTACCGCTGTTGTTTGCGTGTTTTGGGGTCTGGCGTTTGTTACAGCGGTAGTTCGGTTCTATACCCGCGCCGTCCTGTCGCGTTCCTTCGGCAAGGATGATGTGTTTATGGTCTTGGCTGTGGTGAGCCACAACCTTTCTCGTACGATCGGAGCTGCCAGCACATTGAGCTAATCATTGCAATTGCTGCACAGTTATGCGGGATAGGGGGACTTGCCTCGTGGATTGTGGCATGCAAAAACGGCTACGGAAGACACATCGACACCATATACCCTAAAGAGTTCCTGACGCTACTCGAGGCCCAGTTCTACCAATCCGTCGTTGAGGCTTCTTTTGCCTTTGGGTTCCTAAAGATATCCATTGCTCTGTCGCTACTTCGCCTAAGCAGAGGAAGCTGGTACAACAGAATCCTATGGATTCTAATCGGTACGAGACTACCCCTGAGTTGCTGAGTCCTTGAGCTGTGGACCGTTGTATTAACCAACATTGGCAACAGGTTTTACCTGCTTCTACACCCTCTTCTCCTTCATCACCTTCCTCACCTACTGCAATCCTATTGCAGGGCAGTGGAACCCGTCGCTGCGACCAAAATGTTACAGCAGGGTGATATACCGTAACTTTGGGTTGTTCAATGCTGGTCAGTCGTTTCCACGCTTTACCAAACCGTGTAGTATTTTGCTCAAGCTCTTGGTCTTTAGCATGCAACATCGTAACCGACATTTCCTTTGCCACGCTGCCGATACCCCTGATATGGAGTTTGCAGCTCCAGAGACGGGTCAGAATTTACCTGATCGCTATTCTTAGCGGCGGATATTGGTGAGGAGCCTCCCCCGGCCTAGTACTTCCATTATCTCCTGACTAGTGGGCAGCGCAGTAGGGTTGGGAATAGCAAGAGCAATGTTCATCATTGCGTACGTCCACGAAAATGATGGGACCTTGTAAGCTCTGAACATAGCCCAGAGATATTGGGCTCTAGCTAACCGTTTCGCACTACAGCTACCCATGGGCTCCCTTCTTTGCATCGTCGGTTTAATACCCAACTCCCCAACTCGAACAACACTCCGATGCTGACATTGACTGAACAGGATCCAACTCGACATCGGCATTATCGCGGCGTGCGCCCCGACTCTCCGCCCTCTTCTCGGTCGCGCTCTCAGACTTTCCACCACTCTCGACCCCTACCGAGGAGCGAACTACTATCGAGCAGGCAAAGCTCTGGACAGGCTTCCCATTACCGGGAATCCGGCAAGAAGATACCTACGTCAGACCACCTTTTCGGGGCAGTTCGAAATGACCAGAGGACAGAAACAGTGGGCTGCGGCGACTCATAAAGACTCGGGCTTCTCAACCACCGCCATCCATGCCGAACACGTAGAGATCAAAGGGGAAGCCAGCGGGGAGAGCATCGAGGACGCCATATCACCGCTTAGCGACCCCGAGTTTAAAGGAATCATCAAAACAACAGAGGTCAAAGTCGAAAAGTGAATGAACAAGCACACCAGATTGGAACACCTATTTCCATTTCCCTCGCGAGCATTATTGAGCGGTTTTACCAAAGAGACGAAGCAGGTCCGAATGGTATTTGGCCAACCCCTTAACGAAGCGACGACGAACACGAGGCAGGATCAAATCACAACGTTTGGTTAGTGAAAACGGTTGAATCACCTTGTTGAGAATGCCAACTCTCTCGCTCAAGCTCGGCCTTTACCCCCCGTCCTTGAGCCGGGCACTTAGCCGGGAGCGTACTTGCCAGGAGGGCGCAATCAAAAGCCGGCGCCCGGGATAGACACACGATTTACTCGGGCCGAACGAGAGTGCAGCGGGTATACTCATACTGAGTCGCACCAAACTTCTGCCATCCTCTCGACGTCGGAAGCTCGCCCCACCGTTTGCGGAGGTAACAAGACGGCCTGAAACACGACGCGCTTGAGCACGAGTATGTATCTATAGACAACAGTCATTACCTTGATGGGGACAGGGTTTTCTATTGTAACAGGAAAAGGCAGCTAGGAGAGTCCGAGATGAAGAGGGGGCGGGAGGTTGTATGTCAACGGCGTGGTTGGAGTCTTCGCTCCATGACAGCTCCCAGGCCCCAGGGATGATATTAAAACCAAGATGGATTGTAACAATAATAGGGTACGGCCTTCACATGAGCGGGGTTTGTCGAGTACTGGGTACGGTTTTTCGTCGCACCGAACATCTGGTTTCAGCGACCTGTAGTCGTGATCAAGGAACAATTTGAACTCCAAAGGGTAGTTAGGTAGTAATGAAATACAAAAGCACATGTACAAGCTCTTCAATCATACTCCAGAAGGTCGCAAGTGAGTTGAGTAAATTCACCAGAAACCCTCCCGCGACAGGAAGCGAGTATAACAAGATCAAAAGAAACGGATATGAGGAAGGCTCGAGCATGAACTTACACCAGCTTCGCACTTTCTAGGTTAAACTTCTAGCGTCACAGAAAACATCATGTTATTTCAACCCACAAACAAGGAACTGCCACTTGCTCCTAGAATTCCATCTGCTAGCCCCTACCCTTTATTACCTACCTCCCTATCCGATCCATCAACCCGACAATATCATGTGCAAAGCGTACACCGTCCACTTCATCAAACCACCCTGCACACCCTACTGCGGCGGACAGCTTACCACGCGCATCCGCCCCTGCCCCTACCGCGGCACGCCCGTCTGCCGACCCGAGCCCGACCACCAGATCAAAGTCAGCTACCGCTGCGCCATGCACTTCCAAGCGACCGTCTACCCCAACGTCGACGCCTTCACCCGCGACATCCTCACCCACACCCTCCCCCACACCACCACCGACCCCGGCAGCAGCAGCAGCAGCCCCATCACCAAACTCGACGCGCTCGACCCGGACGTAGCCACACACATCCAACAATTCGGCGGCTGCATGTACATCGCCTACCAGGAGGAGTACTACGAGGCGGCGCGCACGGCGACCTACATGCAGCTGCACGGCGGGGCGCTGCCGCCGGGTGTGGAGCAGGTGCCGCGGCGGCACGGGGCGATACTGAGGGGCCTGTATGCCAAGCTGCGGGAGGCGTACGCCCGGTTTTGTGACGGCGATCGCTGGGTGGCGGTCGGGGTGCCGAGGGAGCGGCAGCCGGAGAGGGGACGGTTCTTTTATCAGTATCCGCTGCTGGGTGGCGGGTGTTGGGAGCAGTTGTTGGCGGATGTGGGGCAGCAGAGGGGGGCGCATTATTCGTTTGCGGATATCTTTGATGGGATGGGGTGGGATATGGAGAGGAGGGGTGGATCGTTGTCGTCGGGGGATGGGGAGGTTGGTGAGGATGGGGGGGATGACGGGGTGGCTTTTGAGAAAGAAAGAGGACCGTTTTGCGTGGACGACCTAGACGACTGGGAGCGCTCGGACCTGGACTCTGAGGATGAGTACGGTGTGAATGAGAATGATGAAGACACCACGGCTACAGGTCTTGGAATAAGAGAGCCGCCGGTAGGTGATGATAAGAACAGGTTGGCCAAACCAGAGTATAATAAGTGGTAGGAGAAAGAGGGCATACATCTCTTTTGCGACAAGGCTTGCATCTTTACCTGGCTGGCCGACGATAATTGGCAAAGGCAAGCGAGGTTGTCATGTTCATACCTAGCGGAAGCTCAATGCTTCAACACCATACTGTAGCCTGCCCAGGAGCAGTTTAATGCATTGTCATGTCAGAAGATCATAACACACCGCGGAATGTAATAAGAAAGTTCAATAAACCAATACCAACTCTGCCCAGTAGTGTCATTTTCCAATCCACGGCCCTGTTGAACAATCTGCCGTCCCCTCCAGTCGCCAGCCTGGCCATTGGGTTTCACCCCTGAATCCAAAAACACAAACTCCATCCCGACCAAACAAACCAAATAAACCAAAGTAGTACAAAATCCTCATACCAAGTCATACATACATAAACCCACCTAAACCACCAGGTACGGAGTACACCAAACCAAAACCCCGAAAGCCAACCTGATAACTGTGAACTCCCTCCGTATTCCTATCTGGCCTGGTATCACACCCCAACCAACACACAAGTTGTGTACCCAAAACCAACTCCTCTCTTGTATGATATCAACCCCGCTTTCCCCGATCTCAACCCTGCTCCATCCCCCATCGGCGGCGACTCCCCCCGACTCCTCGCCCTGACTATCCACCCCAACCATCCCACCCACCCCCCAACCCACCGACACCCGCAGCAGCACCACCACCACCACCCCCCCTCTTCCCTCCCTTCCCCCCACCCCCACCGCCACCCGCACCACCCTTCCCCTTCAACGCCATCAACGCCATCCGCGCCTCATTCCTCTCCCTGCGCAGCCTCGCCTCGGCCTGCTTCAGCTTGGGCCGCTCGGCGCCGAGGAACTCGGCCTGGGAGCGGGCCTCGTCGCGTTCGACGCGCAGGCGCCGCTCGACCTGGCGCGCCGCGTACAGCTCGTTGCGCGCCGTGCTGAGGCCCATGCGCGCCTCGTCGCGCTCGCGCGCCGTGCGCTGCAGCTCGGCTTGGACGGTGGTGAGGAGCGTGTGGAGTTGTTGCGCGTCGGTGGGGTTGATGGTGCTGAGGTTGAGGTTGAGGGCGGAGGGGGGTGGCGGTTGGGATGGGGGTTTGTTGGGGTTGTTGTTGGGGTTGGTGGTGGTGTTGTTGTTGCTGTTCCAGGATAGGCCCATCGTGTCGAGGGTTAGGCCGCCCCCGCCGGTTGTGCCGTTGCCGCCGGGAGGGATGGGATAGCTGGTGGGTGCAGACCGTGGAAGATGGGTGGGTGGGAGGCCATGGTCGAGACTTGGGCCGAGGGGATCTGTTGGGGAGAGGTGATATGGTTGGTGGTGCCCCTTGAGGCTACCGTGGACGGCCGAGGGAAAGTGCGGTTCCGTGGCGGAGTGGACGTGGAAGTCTTCAGGGGACGACCCCGAGGCGAACTGGTCGTGGCCCAGATAGCCTGTGAAGTCGGGGCCGTCATAGGCGAACGGGTCGTCGTAGAGGCCGACCATTGGGCGCGGCAGAGCGCTGGTCGCTCTGCCTCTCTGACACGGTGGTGGTGGTTGTGGACCGGGTGAATTTAGGCAAATGTGATCGCAAACCCAAACCGAGCAGCTGGGGCGTCCTCACTGGGGTTCGATGGACCAAGGAATGCCGTCAGCTCCACTCTTTCGATGTCGGTTAATAAATGCCGTGAGTGAGATGTCTAAGTTGACGTTTTGGATGGATGGAAATGTGGCAAAGGGAGGCCAGAATGTGTACGCGCTGTGGTGGACTGATGAGGGTTGGATTCGGCCCCGGCTAAGATGGAAAGGGGCTGCAGCAGTCACACAGCAGCTTGGACCTCTGACGGACTAGACCAAACCAGGTCCAGACAAGCCGTTTCAATGCCGGAACCAGGGCATCCCAGGAAGCCGGTGGTGCTCAGAAGCGGGGGTTGGTGACGCTGCGAGAATGGCCCTGGACTGTGGTTCAAGGGGGAAGTTCTGCTGGTCTGAATGGTGGAGGCGAGAGGGAACTGCCCGCTCTCTCGCCTCTCCGGTCAAGAGGGGCTCCTTCATTCTTTCGGTGAGGACTGCAAATTTGCTCATGTGATCTCGGGAGGGTGTCTCCGCAGAGCTAGACTCGTCAGGTTCGGGTTGCCAAGGGGGCTTCCCCAGGATTCCTTCGGTACGACTTCTTGGCGGGTCATGTCCCTGGTCCAACTCGTCATTGCGCCGGCGATGACTGGCTCGACCGATCCACCATCCGCAGCAAACCGGGATCGCTTGGCATCGGGGAGGTGGGGAGAAGTTGATGCTGTCGGGGATGGCCGGAGGAGGAGAACGGCTTGCAGTAGAATGGGGGGAGACCGCGATTCCAACTGGACAATGGACGACGACTCTCTCTCGACAACGGCACTGTATCTCCGATCTTCTCCGGCACCTGAAGTTCTAGAAAGCTTCCATGCTGATCCCGACCCGTCCCCAGCCGTCCATCCGTCTTCCGTGTCTCCACCCACCGTAACTGGAAACGAAAAGCCGCACAGACTGGCCGCCTTCCGCGAGCGGCGCTAGAATCATGCAAGCCCAAGGGATAGCAAGGACAGATTGGCCACAACGGGGAGGTCGAGAGGAGAACGATGCAGCACCTCGCAGATCTGCTTGGTTCCTGACACGGACTGTTTTCTTGACCCAGACATGCTCCCTCCCCCTGACCGATTCGGGCAATATCCCGAGTCACCAACCACGGTGTTGTTGATGATCGGTACCTAGCTTCCTCCAGCTTCGCAAAAATACGACAACTCGAGGAGGGATTTGTCTTGCAGGCGTCCAGCATTTGTGTGGTGAAGACTGAAGAGCACACAGCTGGAACCGAGCAGGTAAGCCGTGCCGCCCTTGCATCCTCATGCAGGCATGCCAGCATGCTGTTACATACACTAGCATCATGTCCCCGGCCCGATCCATGTTTTTTTTTTTAAACGACAGCGGCCGGGGTACCTGGCGGCGTGCTGATGCGCTGTTACCACTTGCTGATGCATGTTCATGTGCTGCCATCGTCTCTGGGCACGGCGAGATGATCCAGGTACACATGGGGGGCGATTCGCCTTGGGTGTATTCGTAGGAGGTTGTCTTCGGCCTCGTTGCGATAATTCAGACTGCATGCAGCTCGCATCCCTACACCGCAGCTCGGATACGTGTTCGAGGATATAGCGCCCAAGAACCGAACGAACCTTGCTTGGGGTGAGATACAGGGTTGCCATTGCTGTTTGTCCGTTTCAGTTTCCCACGCGCCAGGAAGTAACCATATGTGATAAGACTCCGGGAAACGCTACCTGCACCACTCGTCGTCGTGCTTGGCTAGCTCTAGTTCATGCAAACACCCTGACCAAACATCCCCCGAAGGTGGCGTTTCTCCTGGAAGATTTTACTCGTCGCTTCACCACGGTGGTCATGGGTGGTAATCAAACCAAGAAAAACACACCGATCCAACAGTCAGCCGGAAAGTTGACCGCATGCTCCTGCTCTTAAGTTGGGATCAATGTTTGCCCTACGTAGAAAATCAGAAAGAAGGATTGAACGAAGAATAGGGGTTTACTTACGATGACATGCTACTGTTGTTCGTTCTTAAATTCTCAGAGTTCATTGATGTTTTCTATTCATATGGGAGTACAAAATTACCTATCCATTGAACGTGGTTGCACACAGCAACTAACAAAACAACGGCTCGAGAAACCGCGGTCTTCCAGACTTACACACACCTCCCAAGTAGGTAGTCTCGCTCGCGTCTGATCCAGGTCAAGTAGACATCCCAACCTGTTGCTTCGCCCTAAAGAACTTACCCAACCCCCCCAACAGCCCCGGCAACCCCCCAGCGCCCTCCTCCATCCCCGCCCTAATCCAACCCGGCAGCTTCCCTTTGATCCTCTCCGTCGCAAACCGCCGGTCAACCAGCACCACAGCCGCATAGTCCGCGCGGTGCCGTATCGCCCGCCCAATACTCTGGTTCACCGCCCTCATACACGCGTTCTCGTAGAAGTCCCTCGCGGCCTGCTTGGCCAAAGCCCGGGCCTCTGCTTCCCCACGCGGCGGGGCGCCGCCAACACCACCCTCCCCCTTCCCCTTTCCCTCACCCTCCATCAAGCGCTCCATCTCCGTCGCCTCGATGTACTCCAGCCGCGCCTTCCAATCCGGCGAGTTGATATTGGCGTACGGCAGGCCCACGACCACCACGCACCGGCCGAGGCGGTCCGAGAAGTTGATACCCTCGGACAGCTTGCCGCCGACGACACTGAGGAGCAGCGCGCCGCCCGGGCGCCGTGGTTTGGTTGCAGCCTGCTGGGATCCCCCAAGTGATGGTGGTGCTGCTGCTGCTGCGGGGAACAAGATGGCGTCGCTGTACTGCTGCAGCACGTCCTCGCTGACGCCGCCTTTGGTTTCCCGGAAGACGGCCTTCTTGCCGGCGAGGCGGTCCCAGAGTGGTGGTTGGGTGGGTGTTTCTTGTGTCTGCCAAGCGGCGACGACCTCGTCGAGGTATCCGTGGCTGGGGAAGAAGACGACCACGCCGTCAGGGACCACGGAGCAGATGTTGAGGAGCGCGAGGCCAAGTTGGCGAATCATGCCCGGTTCTCGTCGTTTCTGGAAACTGAATTCAAATGAATCCGCGTTGGTTGTGCCCGGCGTGGTGGGGGTTGTTGAAGCGAGTGTCCAGCCGAATAGGTTAGAAGATGGAATAACGTGCCCGCAGCTTAGCGTCGTAATCTTGTCCGTTGGGAAACTCGGAAAGAGGTGAGCTTTGTAATCCTCGAACGGTGACATCGTTCCGCCTGCTAGGATGACAGCCCTAGCGGACGATGCGATGGATGAAAAGGCGTTCGTGGGCGATAAAAGGAGGTACGAAAGTTTGATGTCTGGCGGTGTGGTGGCAAGCTTTTCTGAAAATATCCGGCCTTCGGAGCTTAGGTTTGTTAGTGCAGTGAGGAAAGAAACAAGAGTATGGAGAACGGGTGTTGATGGCGAGGGTTTCCCGTGGGCTGAGGACGAGGATTCCTCTTGATTTTCCGCGTGACTGACATAACTCTCGATTTTGTATGCCAACTTGGAGTCTTGAATGTACTTAATGAGTTGGTATAAGTTTATCTGGTCTGCGCCACGGGCCTTCAAAACCGTGTTCGGGTCGACGATACCTTGGTCGCCCTTGGAACAAGTCAGCATTGTCTCATCTCAGGGAAACAATCAAATCAATCTTACCTTGATGTTGAGTTGTTCGTTTAAGCACGCACTCAGTGACTCAACGACCTTGCCCACCTGCGCAATCATAACACGGTTCTCTCCTTTTAGCTTCTTCCCGAACCGCTTGACATAGATACTCAACATCTGCCTCGCCCGCCTAAGCTCGCTCAAGCAGATTTCAGCGGCATAGACGTTTGCAACGGCATCCATAACATTGTGAGCTTCATCGATGATGACAACATTTCCCTCCAACTTGATTCCAAGCGCATCTCTTGCGTTCTTTTGAAGAAGCAGCGGATAGGGTAGTGTGATCACTTCAGCCCCTGGAATAGCAGTCCGCGAGGCATAATAGGGGCAGACCTGCAACTCTTTGCCAATTCTGTGCAAGTCTTCGATGTCTGGGACGGTCGCCAGAGCTGCATCCCGGAAGTCATGGGCCTGCTTTAGATTTTCCGTGTTGGGCATGAAGGAGCATTTGTCTTTGGTTTTTGACTGCTGCAACTCCGTACATCGGTCATTGATGGCGGATAATGAGCCGAGTCGCACGACTGAGGGGTTAATGCACAGCTTCTGCCTGGAGGATAGCGGAAGTTGTTTGACTGTTTCTGTGGTCGGTTGCTCCTCATCCTTCTCATTCGAGGACAACATCTCGGTGGGTATTGAGGGAGGAAATGCCGGACGACGCAATTCTGAGATGAACTGCGTCAGCTGCGAGTGTGTGCGAGAAGTGTAGTAAATCTGGAATGTCAGCTTGGTCTTTTTCATAACCTTGGGGGCAACAAGAACCAACCTTGACTTCATCTTCAACCTCGCCCTCACCACCCCCATCATCATCCCTCCTCTTTCCACCCCCACAAACCAACTCTCTCCATCAACTCCCTCGTCTCTCTACTCAACCCACCCCTCCTCCACCCCACCCCCAACATCCTCCACACCACCACCCTCCCACTCCCCCAACCAAAAACTCCCTCTCCTCATCCACCCTCCCATCCCCCATCCCAATCATCCACCCTCACCATCTTCCTTCCCCCCCACCAGGGGCCCCCCACCCCCACCGCCACCCCTCCTCTCCTCCAACTCCAGTTCCCTCACCCTCACCCTCTCCATCGCCCTCTCGCGCTCCTCCCACCGCCGCCCCAGTTCCTCGCGCTTGCGCCGCAGCGCGGGCCTGCACCATCCACTCGGGCTCGTCGCGCATGCCGGCGGCGGTGGCGTCGAAGGAGGCCTCGTAGCGGGCGCGCTTGTGGGCGCGCAGCCAGGTGAGGGTGGCGCAGATGAGGGAGAGGGATTTTCCCTAGGTGGGGAGGGGGGGGGGTTAGTCTGGCTGTTTTTTTTTTCTGGGGACTTTTGTCTTTTTTTGAGTGGGGAGGGGTGGGAAGGGGTGGTGTGTGAGTGAGTCGGTGAGGTGGGCTGTTGACATACCGTGCCGGTTGGGCTTTCGAGGATGCCAACTTGTCCGTTGCCCCTTTCGAGGACGTCGTAGACTGTGCGCATGAAGTTGAGCTGGACATCGTAGGGTGTGTAGGGGTGGTGAAAGTCGATGGTGGTGTTGGAGGCCATTTTTGGCTCTGTTTCAGATTTTGGTTCAATCATCACCGACGAACCGATTCATGGGGTTGCGTCAAGAGATATTGTGGGAAGTATGGGACCAAAACGGAGAGTGATGGATTCTAGCAGTGGTGTGGTGCAGTTGTAAACAACTTGCAAGTCGGGTGCAGCAACCGCCGCGAAAGTTTGTGAAACAGCGGTCGCTGCTTGGATAACACCAGAAACAGTCACGTGAGCCCTTGATGGGTATGCAGTCAAGCAATTAATGAGGGATATCAAACACTATATACAACCCAGACGCCGTGGAGCCCAGTACATTGACAGGGCCGATGAGCACCAAACTCCAATTAATGTCCCGTTCAAACCTTCAACATGTCCATCTCATCGTCATCTTCGTCGCTCGCTTCCTCGGCGGATTCGTCAAGGCCCATGCGGAGGAAGTCATGTTGTAGCGCGTCCGCGGCGCTGATCCGCCTGGTTGGGTCCAATTCCATGCATCGCGAGAGAAACTTAATCGCCAGCTTCTCATCTTCGCTGATCTTGACTTTATCACTCCGGCCGGTACTCCATAGAATGATGCCCTCCAAACTGTACCCAGACCTACCGATCGTGGGGATCGTCGTCTCCATCATACACCCGTGTAATAACGCAGCGCCTTGCATGCGCTTGTTCCCAAAAATTGTGGCAATTTCGATCATGGCTTCGACGTCGTCGGCCGAGTTGAAGAAGGGAAAACGCCGAGATAGAATGGTGAGGAGGATCACGCCGGCACTCCATATGTCTATCTTGGTGGTTTGTTCCGTGCATTTGAAGAGGACTTCGGGCGCCCGGAATCCGCGGGTCCCGGCACGATTAGCCCGCCTTGAGGGGCGTGTGTCTTCCCGGGCGTACCCTTCCTTTGGTTCAGCACTGAACAGCGGCTGCAGCCTCGCCTTTCGAGTAGCCGAGTCGTCGTGGCAGAGGCAGTGTTTACCGCCATCAGCGCCTTCGCGCTCAGCCAGACCGAAGTCGACAAGGACACCTCGGCGCGAATCAGGGTCGTAGAGGAAGTTTGTCGGTTTGATGTCGCGGTGGAGGATATTGTGCTGGTGCACGCTTGCCAACGCGGTAAAAAGGGACCGCAGGTAGATGGCCATGTCTGGTATTGTCATTTCGCGGAAATAGTCGCGAAAGTCCGCGTGCCGGAAATAGGGGAGGATGGCCACAACCTGGTCTGTCGAACGAAAGGCCGTGATCAGGGGACACACCGATTGGCAGCCCCGAAGATCGTGTAGTAACTCGAGCTCGTTGAGGATGCGGTTCGGAGAGGACGTGACGTATATCTTCTTGATAGCAACGTATTTCGGCTTGCGGCGGCGCTGTGATTGCGACGTATAATCGAGTACTTCGGACTGGCTCGTATGGTTCCGAAGCGGCGGCGGCGTCCACTTGTCTAATTCCTTGTCCATATCCCACGAATTGTCGTGTTTGTCGTACACTAAATCCTCGGCTTTGTAGACGGTGGAAAAGGTACCTGAAGGTCAAACGTCAACACGGCGAAGGTGTTGATGGGACGGGAGAACGCGAACCTTCACCAATTCGTTTGATCAGACGGTATTTCTGCCGAAAACCAGCAAAGGAATCCTGTAGCCTTTCCATGTCTTGTTGGAAGTGGCCATCGGCTGGGGCCTCGTCTTCTGAACTCTCCGAGTACTCGGACTCCTGGCCATCTTCTTCCAAGAGCTCGGTTTCTTGTTCTACGTCGTCGTTGACCTGCGGCGCGCTCTCATTCATCTCCGTGTCCTCGGTGGAAGGGACATCCTCGTGGATCCGGAAGGACTGTGGCTCTGTTCGGAGCGATTCTGCCCGACGGCGACTTGCAGGAATTGTTGTTGCCATTGTGGGCGATTGTCGATTGTCGGGGGGCACAGAGTGAGACCTACAAGAAAAGAAGGAAGTCGCTCCGCTCGGCCCGATCAGAGGTTATTGCTGGCGCATGAGGCTCGTGTCTATGGGATCGATCGTGCACTTCTCCAAAGTTTCAGGATCGAATCGATTGGTAATGCATACCGATTGGGCGGTGTTGGACTTAATTTGAGGATTTGAAGACCCTTAAAAAGTTCCGAGAGAACTGTCGCTGGAGCATCGAGCCCCCTTGGAGGGGCAGCGCACGGATCATTTGGAGACGCGATCAATTGCGGCGGGACGCGGCTGGCTGGCACCTGCAAAGTCAACAAACAAATTGCAGCGTTGCTAGGGTCCCCCACCGGAAAGAGCCAAAGCACGCCAACAAATCCAAGGAGGGGCCTCGATTTGAAAGTCGCCCTCCATTTGCGACAAAACAACACCAACGCCAACTAACCCCCGACGAACCCCCCAACTTCCACGACAACCCTTCCGATTGCGGTGTCCGCTTTTCGAAGACGACTTCTCTCCCCGCCTGTCCTTCTTGGCTGCACCCACTGGCGACCCCCGCGATACCCCTCATCGGCCGTTGTCCGCCATGGACAGCGTCAGCTTCGATATTAACGATGCGCTCAAGCATTACATGAGCGACCCGGCTGGCATTCCGACGCCCGAGGCAGATGGAGCGCTGGTCGACTGCGAGAACGACCCGGAGTCGCTCACCGACAATGCCGTGATCAACGCCGTCCTCAACCCCATCGTCGACGCCGTGGCCGAGAATCCGGATGCCATCACGCGCAGCAGCATCTTTGACTCGTTGCAGTTCCTTTTAAAGTGTGCACCCATCTCCTCTGATCCCCTCATGCCCTGCGAGAGGGACACGTCGCTGCCGGCAGCGGGCACACCCACCCCTGCCCGGCGCGCGCGTCCCTTGGGCTCTGGCGCCACAAACCGTCGTTTAAACGATCCTGATTCTGAGCTGTTCAAACAATCCAGGTACACCTCCTTTCTCTCGGCGCACGCTTTGAGCAAGATATTTGACTTGATCACCTCCGGTCTGGCCACCGAGGCCGACGTCATAAACCATGACCTTGAGTCGGACGAACAGGAGCTCATCGCCCACCACAAACAGTTGCTTGAGATGTACGGCTTCCTGCTGCAGTGGACCATCGCAGCCGTCGAGATCAAGGCAGCCGAGAAATCGTCCACCACCGTGCCCGCGCGGGGCCGCGGTAAGCCCAAGAGCAAGAGGGATGTCGGCAAGGACGGCACCTGGGATTCGTCGACCCAACTCGAGACGGCGCTAAATACAATGTGCAAGGTGCTGCGGTTGAAGCTGGGCAAGATTTTCTTGACGACATCCGAACGCGACACTTTCATGTCGCTGCTGACCCGGCCCGTCTACATGATTCTCGAGAGCGAACAACGCGTCAAGAGCACGAGCATCCGGATGCACGCCTTCAAGGTGCTCTGCATCGCAGTCAAGCACCACGGCCACGGATACGGTAGGTTAGTTGTGTGCTATGCAGAGGGAAACGCTGACAACTCGTAGCCGCCCAAATTTCTATCGTTCAGAACCTTACCTACTTTGAGCATCTGTCGGAGCCGATGGCCGAGTTCCTCCACATCTTGGCCGAACAATATGATTACCCGCAACTAGCGGACGAGATCCTGCGAGAACTCAGCAACAAGGAGTTCAACACCAACGACACCAAGGGGCCAAAGTCGGTTTCAACCTTTATGATTAGACTGTCTGAACTGGCTCCTAGGTTGGTCATTAAGCAGGTTACTTTGATGGCGAAGCAGCTGGACAGCGAGGTATGCAGGCCAGGCGCGGGATATAGGGCTCAGGAACTGACGTGCGCAGTCGTACACCCTCCGTTGCGCCCTTGTCGAGGTCTTCGGCAACATGCTTGCCCACCTTAGCAAGTCAGATGAGCGCAGCGAGAACCACAAAATGCAGATGAACGCCTTCTTCGATGTGCTGGAAGAGCGGTTCCTCGACATTAACCCATACTGTCGGTGCAGGACGATCCAAGTCTACGTGAAGCTTTGCGGGCTCGACCAGAAATTTCCGAAGCGGAGGCAAAAGGCAGCCGAATTGGCGTGCCGGAGCCTCGAGGACAAGAGTAGCCATGTAAGGAGGAACGCCATCAAGTTGCTCGGCACCCTGATTCGGACACATCCTTTCACCGCCCTCCACGGCGCCCAGCTTGCGAGGAAAGACTGGCAGGAGCGTTTAGACAAGGTCGATGCGGAACTCAACGCCCTGAAGCCACCAGTTGACGCGCCGGGCCTGGAGCAGGGGAACACTACCGTGGACCCGGCTCTACTTGATGACGCCACTCAGATCGAGTCCCCAAGGAAGCAGCTGGCCGAGATGACCGATGAAGAGAAAATTGCAGCGGTCCAGAAGGCGCAGGAGGAGGCAGCCACTTCCGAGGCGATCGAGAAGCTGACCCTCACAAAGCGATACTACAACGAAGCGCTCAAATTTATCGACGTGTTGCACGATGCGACCGGCACCGTGTGCCAACTCCTTGGATCCCGGAACAAGAGCGAAGTCATTGAGGCGATGGACTACTTCGAGATCGGTGACGCATACAACATTGAGCAGAACAAGGTCGGCATCCGTCGCATGCTCAGGCTCATCTGGACCAAGGGCAATAGCGATGAGGGCAAGGGTGTCCAGGCCCATCTGATCGACTGCTACAAACGGCTCTTCTTTGAAGCCCCCGACAGTTTTAGCGCGAACGACGCCGCCAACTACATTGCGCGGAACATGATCAGTTTGACCTTTGGCGCCACCCCTGCTGAACTCACCTCGCTCGAACAACTGGTGAGCACGATGATGAAGCAAGGCATGATTCCGGACCTCGTCATTGCGAAATTGTGGCAGGTTTATGGTGTGCAGAAGCGGGAGATTTCCAGGAAGCAGAGACGGGGCGCCATCATTGTGCTCGGCATGCTAGCTACCGCCAGCCCGGAGATTGTGGTCGGCGAGATGGAGACGATGCTGCGCACCGGTCTCGGAGCCCATGGCCGTGACGACCTACAACTCGCCAAGTTTACGTGCGTTGCTCTCCGACGGATCAACCCCACCGGTCGTCAGGCCAAAGAGTCAGCGGCCAAGTTCTCCCGGTTACAAAACGATCATGCTGTGTTAGTTAGGTTGGCCGCCATCACCGAGGTGCCCACGGAGAGCAAGGACTGGTATGGTGTTGCCGAGCAGGCCATCAACGCCATCTACACCCTATCGAGACATCCGGACGTTTTGTGTTCCGAGATCATCCGTCGCAAGACGAGGACAGTCTTCGGTCGCCCATATTCGCGTCCAAGCTCACAACCTAGCTCTCGTCCCGCGTCCCGCGATGAGGCACAGGCGGCACCAAGTCCTGCTTCCTCGGCCGATAGTGCTGGAAGCGATCCCACTGTCATTGCTTCGCAGCAAGCACCCGTTAGCCCGACAAAGAAGCAAAACAAGGACAACACCGTTGGCCTATCCCAGCTCCTCTTTATCGTGGGCCATGTCGCCGTCAAGCAGATCGTGCACCTCGAGCTCTGCGAACTCGACTTCAAACGCCGCAAGCAGGAGAAGGAAAAGACAGCTGCCGCTGCGAACCGCTCCTCACTCGGTGCCAGTACCTCCAGCCGCCGCTCCGCCTCAGCCAAAGACAAGTCCAAAGTCGAAGACGAGGGTGACGAGCTCGACCTGATCGGCGGCACGACCGAGGACGACTTCACTGAGGCCATGGCACACATCCGCGAGCGCGAGCTCCTGTACGGGCCCACCTCGCTGCTCGCCCACTTCGGCCCCCTGGTCAGCGAGATCTGCGCCAACAACACCACCTACCGCGACCGCAACCTGCAGCAGGCCGCCACGCTGTGCCTCGCCAAGCTGATGTGCGTCTCGTCCGAGTACTGCGAGGTCAACCTCCCGCTGCTCATCACCATCATGGAGCGGTCGACCGACGCCACGGTGCGCAGCAACGCCGTCATCGCCCTGGGCGACATGGCCGTGTGCTTCAACCACCTCATCGACGAGAACACCGACTTCCTGTACCGCCGCCTGGCCGACCCGGAGCCCATGGTCAAGCGCACCTGCCTGATGACGCTGACTTTCCTGATCCTGGCCGGGCAGGTCAAGGTCAAGGGCCAGCTGGGCGAGATGGCCAAGTGCCTCGAGGACGAGGACAAGCGGATTGCCGACCTCGCCCGCATGTTCTTTACCGAGCTGAGCACCAAGGACAATGCCGTGTATAACCACTTTGTGGATATGTTCAGTCTGTTGTCGGCGGATAAGCGGATTGAGGAGGAGAGCTTCAGGCGCATTGTGCGCTTCCTGCTTGGGTTTGTGGAGAAGGTGCGTTTATTTATTTGTTCATCCCCATTCTCGATATTCTACAGTGTGAGTGTATGCTGACGACATGTGCGAACAGGACAAGCATGCTAAGCAGCTGGCGGATAAGCTTGCCGCGAGGCTGCCGCGTTGCGACAACGAGCGGCAGTGGAACGATGTTGCGTTTGCGCTGGGCTTGTTGCAGCACAAGAACGAGGATATTACCAAGCTGGTGTCGGAGGGGTTCAAGATCGTCCAGGCGGCCGCGTAGGGTTACCCTTGCTGTTGGGTGGTGGATTTGTGTTGCGGGATGCATTATGGGGTGTCTGGCGTGGCTGGCTCGGCTGTCTTGGGTTGTTGGGATATCCGAGGTTGGGCGGATTCTGTTGTTCCCTGAAAATTTAAATTGTCGGCGGTAGCGGTGTTGCTGTTGCGTGATACGTTGATGTCAACGATTTCATACGTCTTCATTTGTGAGCAGGTTTCGTGAATGATCGCCCTGGAAAGGAAGATACATGTTGGTGGAAGTCGGAGCCATGTCCACGGAGAGTGCTCCATGTTGTTCATAGGGCTAGCCTTTTAGGGGATTCGGATGCCCTCATATTGCACGTCGCCTTGTAGTGATCTCACCAAGAGAAAGAGAGCACAAGCCGTCTCTTTGATCTACCACACTGTATATACAGCGCCGCCGTCGCCATCGCCTGAGCCGACGTAGCTCAAAGTCCCTTGTTTCAATGGCACCCCGGACTTCCCCATCAACCTCCCCCCCAATCCAACTTACTCCTTCGAGACATTCGCGGGCGTCACGCCAAACGTGGGCCGCACGTACCTACCACTAGTGTCAGCATCATCGACCATCCCCGATACACCAGGTAAACAAAAAAGTTGGAACTCACCGGTCGGAGTGGTAGACCTTGACGTTCTCCCCCCAATAACTCCTTCTCCCCGCGCCTGGTCCGGCCAAGGTGCCTTCCGCCAACTTGGTCGCGGTCCTTCTTCCGCCTGGAAGGAGCGGGAATTAAGATGGATGCGGGACCACATACTTCTCGCGGGCGAGTTCCGCTGTGGGCTGTTAGCTTGTGGCTGCGCGCGCGGGGGTGGAGCAATACGACGGGGTGGGGGTAGGCTGGATGGGAGTGGTCAAATGGACATACTTTTGCTCGCGCATGCCGACGACAAGCTTATACCAGCCGAAGAGCATCAGCGCGGTGGTGCCGGCGATGAGAGGACCGGGGCGGAAGAGGCCTCGCGAAGGGAGGTTGCGCTGTGCAAGGGGGTTTGGTTAGCTCTTGTCGTCTTCGATAGTGGGCGAGAGAGAGGGGTTGGGGGGTGGGGGGGTTGAGCTGCGATAAGGCTGGGAGAGGTTTTGGGTTGGTTCATGGAATTTCCGTGCTTGCGCCCTCCTTCTGCGTCTGTTTCCATACCCCCAGCGGAGTATCCGGAGGGGCATCACCCTCGTCATCAGAGGGGAGCTGCCTGCACCGCCAACAGCTCCCCATCCATCCGCTCCCACGCCCTCAGCTTGCCCGCAGTAGAAGCAACCACAAACCAACCCGCCTCTTGCGCAGCACAACGCAGTCTTTCAACTCCGTGTCCCCCGAGCCACCCAATCCATCCTCGCAACCCAGCCCATCCACCAACCCCGACCCGACCCGACCCGTCCCAACCTCCCGCTTGAACTGCTCCCCAAAAGAAAATGGAGCAAAAAAAAAAACCCACCCTTGTACTGGACGGCCTCATAGCCGCACAACCGGGCGGCATATCCTGCGGCAAGGTGGGCCAACTGTGATTTTTTCCGGCTGACTGCGGTGTCTCATCGGACGGTATCCCTCACTCTGCGAGAGCGAAGCCGGGTCTTTCGTTCGCTCGACGGGGAACTTTTCGAACTGCTCGGGCTCCCTGCCGTAAATCGGGAGCTGTGTTGTGGCGTGGGCCGTCGAATTGGCGCGATTGTCGTCGTCGGGGTTTGGTTGCTGCCGGAGCTTCGAAGCTTGAATTGATTGATGGGTGCAATTGCGAGGCTTGGGATTGGCGGCGGGTTGTGGATTACGTAAGTGGGGGAAGTGGGGATGTGGCGTGGAAGCCAAGCGCGCAGCCAGGCATAGGATGACAGGGGCGGCTCAGGGTACACAGGGGCAAAAACAAGGAGAGGCGAGGCAACGCAAGAATGCAAGATGCAATATGCCAGCGCATGATACACTACAAATAAGATACACAGAAAGCCTCCAGGAACTCCAATCCTCCCACCGTCCCCCAACCAAAAGCCAGAGTAGCCCACGCTGATCCCATAGTTATGTACACAAACTCCTAAAAAACTACATGGTGGTCAACTGTCTCCTTGCGCCGTCGGACAAGGTGGGGGTCGCCTAGCCCTTGGCCGTGTCCTTCTCGCCCGCCACCTCGGCCCCATACGCCTGTTCGGCCGCCATCTGGGCTTCCAGTTCAGCCTTGTCAAACTCGGCCTCGAACTCGGCCTCGAACTCGGCCTCCAGCTCGGCGACATCAAACTCCATCTCCTCCTCCTCCTCACCCCCCTCCTCCGCACCGGCATCAGCACCAGCAGCAGTATTACGTGCCCCCTCCATATCCACATCTTGACCATCCGACCGCCCGGGGGTAGGCAGGCCACTCCCCGGGCTATCATTGGCGCCCTCGCCGGTGGCGACGTACAGGTTGCGCAGGGACGAGCCGCGCTGGCTCTCCGTCCTGCGCAGCCGCTTCGCCGGCATGCCATTCTCCCCCTTCTCCCCAACCTCAGCATCATCACCATCGCCACCAACATTCTCATTCTCTCCATCCTCCTCCTCCTCCTCCTCCTCATCCCTCCCCTTCCGCTTCCTCACCACCGCCACCGACGCCGACGCCATTGACGCAGGCACAGGCGGCGCATCCCGCACCTCCACATCCCCATCCCCATCCCCACCATCCCCACTCTCCTCCGCCTCATCATCTCCATCATCATCCTCATCGTCGTCGTCGTCGTCCGACCCGCTCGCCAAAAACTCAGCCAGCTCCGCGTCCGTCGTCGTCCAATCAACATCCTTGAAGGCGTCGATAGGCGATGTGGCGCCATCGGGGAGGTCCGAGGGCAAGAGGCCTGCTTCGTCGTCACCGTCTTCGTCATCATTCTCGCCATCGACGTTGCCACCCTCCGCGACGTCCGTCCTGAGCGCAAGCGCGCGCGTCGCGCCCGAGGCGGCGACCAGGCGGAGTTTGGTGGGTGTGGTCCCGTTGGGGGTTTTTGTGGTGATGGTGGTGGTGGTGGCGTTGGGGAGGTTGTTGTCGTTCTCGTCCCCCTCCTCCTCTTCTTCGCCCGCTGCTGAGGGGCTTTGCGCTCTGGATTGTCCTCCTCCATCAGGCGCGCGGTGAAAAGGTAGGGGGCCTCGTCGACGGCCGCCCACTGGGTGAAGCAGGCGGCCAGCCATTCCTTGGGCTGACGATCTTGATGTGCGGGCCGTCGTCGTGCCTCGAGTAGCTTCTCCCTGCCGGGCTGGGCCGTGTTCACGACGAGGTGAGTTATGTCCTTGCTGACCCGAGGGCGCAGGTCGGCGCCGAAAGACATGATTTGTAGGCCGATCTCGGACGTGTATATGTCGATCCCCCGTGGCAGAACACCGGACAGCACAATCTTTTTGCCTTGAAGCACTTTTGCCTTGAACTCATCGAGAATGTGCCCGGCGTCGGGCACCGTATTCCGGTCATTGTCGTACTCGGCGTAGAACGTGCGGTGGAGAGCCGTGAGGTGCTTCTGGAGATGCTCAAGTTCGTCGTCGTCGTCCTGCAGAATGTGGTGGCGTTGGGAAGGAGGGGATGATGAACGTGATTCGGAGCCGTCGTCAGACTGTACGGTTGCTTTCTCAGCCTCTTCGTCCTCCCTATCAAGCTTTTCTTGAAGCGCTTGGAGGGGACGATCCTTGATCTGCTTCTCGAGCTCGCGCTTTTGCTCCTCGACCTGCCATTCCGAGAGCGTGGTGTCGCCGACCTCTGCGGTCTTATTCCCGGATTCGGCAGCGGCGTCGTTCCTTTTTCTCTTTTTGGTCCCGTTAGCTGTCGGACCCTTCGAGAGCAGGTCCTGTCGTTTCGGCAAGAGGATCGAGTTAATATCACCGATGTCTCTTGAAGAACTCGTACGGCGACACCTTGATCAGGTTCGCTCGGTTGTTCGGCCACACATCGGAGCGATCATCGATGATGGCCACCATGTGGGTGCTGATGGGGAAGAGCCGCTGCAAGTCCTTGGCATAGATGCTGCCGTTTTCATCGCGGCTGATGACGCGGTTCCCGAATAGCTTCTTGTCTGGGTCAACAACGCGTGCCACGTTTTGTGCATATGCGCGCGTACCCATGGTGTAGACATGCAACTCGTACATTTGGGCGATGCGCTTGAGGAAGGACTCGAGCCCTGGGCGCATCTTGATGTAATACGAGCATTGGTTGGCTGCCTGCGTAGGTCCATCGTCCAGCTGAAAACTCTTCACACTCTTGACGGACTCGTGGTTGGGGTTCGTGGGATCTTTCTGCCAGTCGCCCACGGTTGGGTCGATGCACGCCTGGATGATGGTTTGGTCGAGATCTACCACCAGGCTGAGCTTCCGGCTCACGAGTAGGCGCCGCTGCAGCTCCTGTTCTGTGCGCTGCGCATGACTCGCGCTGACGGTGAGGTTAGTTTGGTCGTGTACCATGTTGATGGGAGCACGCGCTGTGTCTCGGGTCTCGGTGGCCCAGTTGACCTCGGTCATATCCTTCCCACACATCCCGCAGAGGCCTTGGAACTGGATCTCGTGCGAGCATTCCTCTTTGACCTCTATGGCAACCCTATCAGACAAGATATGTTGGCCCTCCCGAATGAACCAGCGCGTCAGCTCGCCGTCGCTCGGCGAATCCCATGTCACGATGGTCGTCTGTTCCTGCTGCCAAGTCTCGCCTCGGATAGTATCGCCGACCTCTTTCATCCACTTGAAAGAGTATTCCATAAGGGTTTCTTGCTTCTTGATCTTGTCACCCGGCCGCTTGTGAAGTTTGACGACGGTGATGGGGTACCGTAACCGGCTGCCCAACCTGACGGTTTTCGTCATTGTGACGGCGTGCACAGAGTACGGTCGCGCTGTTGTGACGGTATGATGCGATGGATTAAGCCTCGGGTCGTGGGCTCAGCCTGAATAGAATGTCGAGTCTGGTTAGCCGCGTCTTGGACAAAGACTCCCAAGCAAAGACTAAGAAAGAAAAGTGTAGATAGATTCTGCGCTGGAGATTCTTACGCAGGAGCCACCCAAGACGTTAATAAACTGCTGTCCGGGTTGATTGATACACCCATCGCGCAGTGGCGCGTACCCAAGTTGGAAAGGCGGGAAACGCGGTCTGGCGACGGCTGGTCCCGTTTGTGCGTGTGATCCGAAGTATCGCGATTCGAGGTTCCAGGCTCCCAAGCGAGTCAACTCAATGGCGGCAGAGAGCTGCAGAAACGTGGGGCGTGTGGCCAGAAAAAGCTAGTGGCTGTGGGGCACAATGGTCCGAGGGTCCAAGCTCCCCAAAGCTGTGGATCCTGGAAGTCTTGAAGGTCGAGCCACCGTTGGGATTAACAGGGCTAGAGGAAAAAGTACCAAGTACGAATCAAAGGCAAGCAATTGAGTGGCATGGAAATTCCAAACAATTGCTATCGTAAGGTGCCGAGCCTGGAAGTGACGGTACGAAGTATGGGATCAGTGAGTAGGAATCGTGGGGTGATGTAATGCCGAGATGGTGTAATTATTGTCGGGTTGTATTGGCGCACTGACGAAGGAATCCGGTCGCAGAGCAACAAGCCGAACTCTGGGTGGGTTGGGCAGGTCCTTTTGTACCTTGGGCGGCTGATCCGGGCTGCTCATCAACTGTCCAACCAACCCCTGTTCTTGTAGAGAACCCAGGGTACCCACATGGTTCCCGGTTGCGGGGTCATGTGTGGCTAGAACGTGGCGCCGAACTGCCCCTCAATGACTCTGGTACTCGACACAATACACATTAAAGACGTCGAGTCGTGACAGAAGCCTGATCCAATATATTTGGTCGTGCATTGAGGTGCATCACAATCCACCTAGGCATCAATGTCCTCAGTAAAAATAAAGTATGACTAACAACGAACATTGAGTCATTGGAATCACACGTGGCTCGGTTTTAATTCCGTTACAAACTTATAATTCCCAACACAGGAAAGCACGAATTCACGGCTTTGCATCGACAAAAACAGACATCACACCTCCAACGGCAGGCAGCAAGCGGGAAGGCCAAACAATGTCCACATCAACCGTAACTGAGGTGTATGGCCGTCGGTATACCTAACGCCACATTCTCGAATATATTCTTGCCTTTGAACGTTACCAACCCGGAAAAAACGGAATGGGTTGCATAAAGAATTTGTCACAAAGAACTACCCATCTCACACATTACACTCGAAAAGACAGGGGTGGCAATGTTAGTAGACCGTTGACACCCAGGGACAGTTAAGGGAAAACAAAAGATGAGCTGAGATAGCACAGCATAACTTGGTTAAAACTGAAACTCATACAGGTTTGTGAGGCTCATTTACAATTTGATTTGTTTCCATAAGATGGGTCACAATTCAATACGTGCGAAAATTGTGGCGTGTACGGTGTTAACAAAGAAACTGTTGCTCACAATTACTGTTGGTTATTATTACGAAACCCATAGAACCTTTTTGAAAATGGAATCCGAGGCGAGTACACAGTAATATTACTATTCTATGACGGTGGTGTCTCCAGGTTGTAACCTCCCAGGGAGTGAGAGAAGGAAGAGAGGTATGAAGGTGTACATAGGTATGTATGTATGCCAGGCCTCGATGCGTCACCCGACCCATGAACTCCCAAACTAGAAGGTAAAAGTGGTTAGGGAGAGACTCTAAAAGTAACCCAATAAAAAAGAAACCCGACGCAATCCGACGAGGCCAATCTGTCATCGCCTTTAGTGTATCCGAAACCCAGGCCAACGGCATAACATATGCCACATCCTCTTGTCATGATCATCATAACCGTCTCCGAAACTCCAAACAAACCCAGCTTCCATGCCGGACGGGCGGGACAGGTGCATGTATCGTCCCAGCCCGCCCCGAAACAAAAACAACAATACGCAAACAAGCCCAGAGAGAGGGAGGACGAGGCCCCACCTCAAACCCAAGCTGCCCCTCCTCCCCTCAGAAAACCATCGTCCAAAGACTCAACTCCACCATCACTCCAACCCCGCCCCCTTAACCCCCTTCACCCCCGGCGCCCCACCCACAACCGGCACCTCACCCCCCAGCACAGCACCCAAATCCGGCACCGTCCGTTTCATAGCCGCCTCCACCGACAGATCATCAATGGTATCCGCATCGCCGCCGACAAAGGTCCAGCTCTCCTCCTCGTCGTCATCGAGCAGGTCGGCGTCCGGGCCCGAGCCGCCCGAGCCGCCGGGGCCGTCGGTGGCGGTTCCCGCAGACGCGGCAGCGGCCTTGCGCCGCGTCTGGTTCTTGCCCGTCTTGGTGCGGATGAGTTGCGTGGCGTACTCCAGGTCGCGGTAGATGCATTTGATGGCGGTGTCGACGCCGTTTTCCTGTTGGTATGGTTAGCGTTGTTCTACGTTTTGTGGTGGAGAAAAAGGGGGGGTAAGGGGGGGCGACCGGGACGTACCTTACGGATCTGCTCTCCCAACGCCTTCGCTTTGAGAATCATGCGCTCGCTGTGTGTTGCCTCCCAGAGGGCGCGCGCGAAGGATGTTGCGCCCCACTTCTTGAGACAGATGCCCACGCCTAGGTCCTCCACGCGGGCACCGAAAAAGTACTGGTCGCCAAAGAAGGGCCGGATGACCGTCGGGATACCTGCGCGCAGGCTGGCGCCCGTGGTGCCGCTCCCGCCGTGGTGCGCCGCCGCGTCGATCTGCTTGAACAGCCAGTCGTGCGGCGCTGACTGGATCTGGAAGATCTCCGGCGGTAGCTCCGGCTCGGGTGTCTTCTTCTCGTCCAGCTGGTCCTTCTCTTTATCCTTGTCCTTGGTCAGGACCCGGTCGCTCCAGCCCTTGCTGAGAATACAGCGCACATCCGCTTTCAGCACGCCATCGATGACGTCTTGAGTCAGTTTAGCGGGGTCAGGCACGAGGATAGACCCAAAGCCGACGTAAACGAGCTTCTTCCCGTCGCGACGCGCGGCGGCGATGAAGTCGGCCAGCTCCTTGGAAGGTTTGTAGTTCTCGTTGCCCTCATCTAGGAACCAGTACCCCGTGACGCGAATCCAGTCGCTGTAGTCCAACGGCGGGGGCACGACATAGGGGGAGAAGTTGTAAAGGAACGGGACCTTGTTGATCTGCAGCTTTTCAAGGCCAGTCGTCGGCAAGCCCAGGTACCGCCTACGCCAGCGGTTGATCTGGTGCGCCGTCGCCTTCCAAAACACCGTCTCAAACATGACGTACGTGACGTAGTTGTACGCGCCGCCCATCTTCTGGCCGGGCATGATAAAGGCGTGTGGGTAGGCACGGGTGCGTGTCCACGGCATGGTGAAGGCGCGGAAGTAGGGGACACCAAGGGCTTCGGCGATGTGGATGCCCGCCATGGCGGACGGCGACTCGATGATCAGGTCGCTCCCCTGGCAGGCTTCCCAGGCGGTCCGTAGCAGTTCGTCGAGCCAGTCGCGCATCTTGGCGTTGGCCTCGAGGAAGAACGCGAGTGAGAAGGTGCCGTTCTGGATGCAGAGCTGCATCAACTCACCCGGATCGCCCCCCACGAATGCAAATTCGATCCCGTGGGACTCAATCCAGCCCTTGAACTCCCCGTGCGTGGCAATGCGTGGTCGGTGGCCTTCCTGAATTAACTTCTTGCAGAGTGCGATATACGGCTGCACGTCACCACGAGAGCCGATGGTCCAGGCAGGTGATCTGCATAGAGTGGGCGGGTTTGAAGTTGAGGAAGGATGCCTTAGGATCGTCGAAGAGAATCGTAGGGGCTTCCGATGCGGACGATGTCTCGCGGGGAAGTTGAACTTCGTGGTCGGCAAACTCGTCACCGCGTGCTTTTTGAAGAGCGTCGTGCTCCGCTACGGCGGCTTGGGCATCGTCGGCGTCGGCGCCACCGTCCATGAGGGTAGAGTCGTGTAAGTAGTGCGTCGCTTCCAGACTTTGGAGGATGGTAATAGTGCAGTCGTCACGGACTTCGGCCCGGTGGAATTCGAAAAAGAGCTCTTCGTGGCCACGGATGACAACAACCAGGCCCGCATAGCCAAACCGGAAACCCTTCTCCTTGTCGACGTTCTCGATGTCCCGCAGCGGAAGGATGAGCTTGGTGCGGGTGCCGGGTAGGAGGCTGCGGAAACAGAAGTGGCGGTCGCTAATATAAATCTTACCGTAGAGCGGGAGAACGCGCATCAAGTGTCCAAAGTAGGCGGCGTGGAGTTTCTCGGTCTCTGGCAAAGCAAAGTGCGCCTGGAACCGGGCTTCCGAGTTAGCTCGGTCCTCAGGGTCGTCGCCAACATCTTCCTCATCGGTCCGAAGGCCGTGGGGCTCGTCATAATGTTTCCCGCCACCCTTCCACATGCCAGAAACCTTCTCGACGTAGCCCATAGATTCTGTAGCCAAAAGTGTGCTCATGCGCCTAGAATGCCGGTCAAGATATCCGATGAGCGCATTCGCCTTGCGGAATGGATAGACCCCCATTGTGGCAATGCTCTGGAGGGTCGGGGTCGTTGCTGGATCTTCTCCCTCCCCAATTGTGGTTGTGCGGGCCCTGGAAGGGGCGTGATGAACATGTTTTGTAGTGGATACTGGCCGTGGTACGGTTGGGGATGCCACTTGCTTGCCATCTTGGGCCCTTTGTGTCCGCTGGAGAGTTGGGCCGTGGAATAGGTCACTGCCCCTCAGGATCTGGCTCGCCGAAGGGTCCTCGCTGCTTGCCGAAGCCATCATTGCTGATAGGCTCGCTTGGCTGGGATCGCCCATGCTCTGAACATACGAGTCGCTACTCTCCTGTCGCTCGTGGCCACTGGGCCGTTTCCTGCTCAGAGATCGCCTGCTGTCACTAAAACTACGGCGCGGCGGTGATTCCGCATGCAGGCTTGGGTTGGCATCCGTACTGCGTCTGGTGAACGCGTGCAAGGCATCAAAGCTGGTGCGCGGTCGGTCTATGCTCGGACGGGGGCTCGGCGAGGACCCCCGCAGAGGAGATAGCGGGGAGAGAGTCGCCTTGACGCCTTCGTTGATTTTGCTTGAGCGAAGAGCGAGATTGGAGGGCGGTTCTCTAGCCCCGCTACCGCTCGCCCTCTTCGATGATTCAGTACCAGAGCTCGGATCTGCCCGGTCGCTGGGCCCTTGCGCTTGCGACGAAGCATCCTCAACTAGGATCTTTAGGACGTTGATGGGCTCTTTACCGAAGCTAAAGAAGGAGAAGAAGTACTACAAATATCAGCACGTGTGGCATCTAAGAGAGGGCAGGGCCACACACCTCGTCAATCGCATACGTCTCATCGTTGTCGATGACCCGGATCTTGCATGTGTCGGCAAAATCCAGCATTTGTGCCTCCTCAATATCGATAACATTCTCGATAGGCAGCGAAATCTTCACGCTATCACCGTCGTTGTGTGACCTGAAAATAACCCTCCGTAAACCTTTCACCCACTCCTCGGCGCTCTGTGGACTATCGGCCCTGAAGTAGTAAGTCCGGTTATCCGTGGAGACAGCAAAGTTGACGCCTTCCTTGTCTTTGTCAGTGATGGTAGCGGATATACCGTATCTTAGGTCGATTTGGCCCTGGGGAAAGTAGAGATCCTGGGAATCGCGGTAGTACGACAAGACGTCACCCTTGAGGCGGAACCAGTAGCGGTTGTATTTAGGATTCCTCTTCCCACACTTGGATAAGTAACCCGACTTGGCGACCTCGTGCTGCGGCAGGTCAGTACTACGAAGCACCGGAGCGCTGAAGGAGGAGCCACTTACCGCTTTCCTGGGGAGGTACGCGTAGAACGCGATGTGCCGTGCGGTGATATACATGTACCCCGTGAGGAGGACGTGCTGCAGGAGCCAACAAGGATACTCCTGTATGACCTCTTCGGGCCTGTCAAACTGGAATATCTCGGCAAGCTTCTTCGCCAACTCCGTGGGCCCGGATTCCCCAGTGTCATCGGCGGCGATCCTAGAGCGATCACCCGACAACCCGTCGAGATCAAAACTTGGTCGGGCCGCCATCTCAGCACGGGCTTCCAGCATTCTGGTCATCACAGGGGCTGTCCTGCTCTCGGTTCTCGTGATTTCGATGCTGGGGGCAAGGTCGGAGGAGGGCGTGGAATCGGCCTCTGTTGCGTCATCCTGCACATGCACGGACTCCTGCGCCTGCGATTTCGGCTTTGGGGACTTTGAGGATCTGATCTTGTCAGTGAACCGTCCGAGCCCTGGTACCGATTTGAGAAGACGACTCTCGGAGATTTTCCTTCGGTGGCGGTGATCGGATGTATGATGGGTTCGCCCATGGCGAGGGAGAACGGTTGTCTGCGCGAGAGAAGACGATGTGGCGGGCGCAAGTTGTAGTCCCTTCGGACCGGCAATAGTTTTAGCCATGAGATTTTCAGTATCGTCTTCGTCATCGTCCGAACTATGACCTTCGAAACGGTCTGTAAAGTCGGCTTGACTTCCTGCAGCCGCGATCAAGCCGAATATACTCTGGTTCATGTTCATGAACATGCCACCGCCGTATCCCTGGGGCCGTAACTCCTCTTCTTCCCCTTCGGCCGAATCACCGTGGTCCTTTAAGCGTTCGGGAAGCTCCATGGTGGGGGTATGCTCGCCGCCGCGGCGTTTCTTTTGTAGTTTCCGCGAGACACGACGTACGGCGGGCTCATCCTGGCTTGCAGGGCCGGCGCGGGTTGGCGGAGAGGATGGAGGTATCGAGGGTTGCGGTTTACTCGTATCGCTCGGTCTTGTGCTCGTGAGAGGAGAACGCGCGGCGGCGGGGGGCGTTGCAGGAGGTTCGGGATTCATGGCTATAATCTCTCACAGGGAGGCTGTGACGAGGACTGGCTGTGCGTAAATCCTAGGGTGTAAGTACGATAGAAACGAGGCGGCTTATCCCGGACAACGGGGAGGGGGCATACATACCAACCGTGTTGTTGAAAAGGTCCAAGCTGCGTATGGATGCCTGGGCCGCGCACCCAGAGGAAAGACTGGAGCGGAAACTGGATAGACTGCGACAATGATGACGGGACCAAGTAGGTGTCAACTAAGTAGGCACGAATACCCGAGGTAGGTATGTAGGTGGCAGGCAACAACGGCACCTGGGCGGAGGAGGGAGGTACGGTGCAAATTACGGGGTGCTGGAGTGTAGGGTGTCGGTGACAGGGCACCTGGTTGTAATCATTATTATTGTTCACGGCGTGGAAATGCACAGAGACAGTGTCAACATCCGTGACCGTCTCTTGCCATCGGGAGGTCGGGGTGCTGCGCAGCGTTGGTCCGAGCCGCAGCAGTGCGACGGCAGGTGTCAGGGCCCTGGACCGGTTGCCAAGTGTTGCCTTTACAGGGATTCCATGGCCGGGTGAGCCAGCAAGGTTCCGTGTGACGCCCCGGATCCGCGCCTGGGACCCTGTTCGGGTCTGTCAAGTGCCGTTGTTCGATTACCACCCCGTTGGATTGTGGCGGAAAGTGCGGTGTCGCTGAACAGTTTCTGTGGATGCGACTTTTTGTGCGCGAACATGGCGGAAGCTCGTTTCTTCCAATTCGACAATGCTTCAGATTCAATCTGAAATGGCGCTGGGTGGTTCGCAGCTGCAACCAGAGATATCTGCGTTAGTTTATCGATAAGGCTGGGGTCCCATGACGCAGGCACATCAGTCGCAGCGCCCGCTGACAGAAAAGCCCGCTCCACCATTCATCCCATCACATGTGTGCGCGCCTTACGGGGAATTTCGGGATCCATCACAAGACGCGAGCCGCCTCCAGGGTGAGCATCAATTCGCGGCATTTCTATTAGCATTTACTACCGCACTAATTTATCACAACATATTCCGCCACATCTATCCTGTAAAACTTGGGCGTCGAAGGGTGGCACTAACGCGGCCAACAAAATGCGGCCATGGAACACAGGCCACCGGCTGTTGTTATTATTAACATTTGAAGTCCCCGGGCCGTTGCGAGATGACCGAAGTGAGTCTAGAGCCACCTAGGTGTATCTGATCCCGATATCCAAGATAACACCATACCACCCACCCATCCCACTTTACATCCACAAACACAACTTCCCACTCCCATTCCCCCCAGCAACCCAATCCATGGTCGGATGAAAGTGCGCCACAGCCGGCACCGCCGTGATGCCGTCCCCACCCAGCTGCGCCAGCTGCTCGCCGTCCGCCGCAAACACGTCCACGAACCGGTTCATGTTGCCGATGACAAACTTCTGCAGCCCGTCCCGCGGGCTCCGCTGCCACTGCGGCTTGAGGATGGTCACCCACCGCCCGGTCTGGTTATTGTGCGGGATCTGCCGCGCGGGCTCCATCTGCGCCTCCGTCAGCGCCGCGCCGGCGGTCCACTTGTCCGCGTCCGGGAAGTTGTAGATCTTGATGCGGTCGTCGTAGCTCGACGTCGCGACGTGGCCCGCGCTGCTCCAGCTCGCGTGCGAGACGGACAGCCGCGAGTCGTGCGTGCCGAGGAGCGCCGGCGCGCGCGCGTCGCCTTTGCCTTGGATCTTGCGCAGGTCCCAGATCTTGAGCGTGCGGTCGAGGGAGGCCGTCGCTACGAGGTGCGGTTGTGCCGGGTGGAGGGAGAAGCCGCCGATCTTTTGGTCTGTGAGGCCCCAGATCTCGGCGGTGGAGGACTTTGTGCGGAGATCGTGCCGGCCGAGGGTGCCTTGCAGCGTGGAGAAGATGATCATGTTGGGGTCGGAGGTGGGCATGTCGATTGCGCTAATGGGAAGGTCTTCGTCTGCGTCTGCCGGGGCGAAGGCTTCGGTTGATACGCCCTTGTCCAGATCCAGCTTACGGATGGACGAATCGTAGGAGGCAGAGTAGACGGCGTTGGCATCGACCGGAGAGAAGTGGAATGAGGTGATAGTACGTGAATGTGTCTTGAAAGCGGATATTATGGGGTCGGGGATTTCGGCTTCCTCGTCGTCGTCGTCGTCTTCTGCTTTCACGGGTTCCTGAGACGCATCAAACACGCCCATCGCACCCTCCTTGTCGCCAGCAAATATTATCGGCTTGGATTCCGTTGGATGGAAACCCAAGGAGTAGACTCGTTGTGGTACTATTTTGATGTCTGTTCAAGTCAGCGACTGGGCACACACCCAGCTTGGGATACGCACCTTGGACAGGCCACTTCTCGTAAAGTTTGAGCCCGCTCATGCGTAGCCTCAGGTCCTTCAGCCCCTTGTCCGTCGTTCCTTTTACATCCTCGTCTGTAAATGTCCTTATGCCAGGTTGCGCGCCCCTGGCCGAAAGGCCTTTCAGCCCAGCCAGTCCGTCAAGGCCATTCTCCCATTTGCGCCCCTCTACTTGGATATCCCCAAGGCTAAGGTCTCCACTAACACGCATCTTTTTTGCTTTCGCTTTCTCGGCCTCCACCTCAGCCTCCACCTCGGCCTTGCGCTTGAGCGTGTCCGCATCCGCATCGAGCCCAGCGAGCCTGCTGCTCTGCCGCGTTGGACGAGCGGTCTCGCGTTTGACGGGCTCCCGTTTGGCACGCGGTGCGCTCGCGCGCTTCGGCTTCGGCGGAGCAGGTTTTGGAATGATTTTCTCCGCGGTGGTGCTGATCCCGCTCAAAATCGCGTTATTGTTCGCGATGTTCTCCAGGCGCTTGCGCTCGAACGCGCTAATGACCGGCTCTTTCTTGGGAGGCATGGTGACAAGAGAAGGAATTGGGGAAAAATTCTGCAGCAAGAGCAAGAATAAGGCACCTGTTCCAAGAATCATAAATTTGAGACTCTCGGGCGACACTGTAAAAGATTGAGCCGTGTTGCGACGGGAGACGCGAAGTCGCGAAATGCCAAAATCAATTAAAACCACAGCGTTACCCAGATCGCGAAATCACGGGGCATATGGGGCGACTGGAGAACTTTCATTGGGTAATTCCATCAAGGTGGGGACGCTAATCGTACCCAGAAGCAGCCTGGAACCCTGGGAGAAATTTTTAGAAGTGTGTTGCCGGCCGTAAAAAAGGGCAGGACCAAAACCACCATAAACCGGAATCGTCGTCCGAGCGGGTAATTAAGACAGCCGGAGCCTGACCCAATATGTCGACTACCCTTTTACCCTTCCTTTACCAAACACGGACGCTCCAACGAATGTCAAGAGGTGGTCTTTCAACTCCTGGATTCCGAGCTCTTCTGCATTCGACAACCCGAGCCAACAGCCCCAGGGAACGGCCTCGGCCGATCAAGCCTACGAACGCAGGACCAGATGATATTCCATTTCAATTGCCGGAGGGCTATGAGCGCCCCGATAAGAGGACAGACGCCGAACGCGACGCCGAGTCTGGCGTAAAGTCCACCATCACGCCGTCAGAGCGAGAAGCCTTCACCCGCATTTTCGAAGAGATCGCGGCGCGCCCAAAGGCCGGGGCTCCTGCGGAATCGGCCGCTACCTCACCCGAGGATGGCGGTGGCGATATACCCTCGAAAACAAAAGAGCCGGAAGATGCGTCTTTTTTGCCCGGCCTCCGCGGCTTCAAAATGCCAGTGGAAAACTTCCCAGTCAGGACCGAAGAGCCTAACCCCGAGTTGATTCGCAACACCATCAACATTATCGTGCAGGATGCGGCCGAGATACAAACCAGTTCGAGGCGGCAGACAAAAAAGCCCTTTGACCCGCTCCACCCGCTCGAGCAAATATCATCAGCGACAGAGTGGGAAAAGGCGTTCCTCCGCTTCCCTCCGAGCCTGCGCCAGGCGGCTCGCATGGCACTAGGCACCGTCGAGGAAGGGAAGGCCGCTGAGAGGCTCGGCAACGCTAATGCCGCCCCGGAAGACGGAACAAGCGAAGAGAAGCGTACAGATGCGCAGATGGACCTGGCACTCGACCCGCTCTCGAAAGACGTCCAAAACGAAGCCCTGCGCCGCGAGGAGCGCACCCGCGTCGACGCCAAGATGCGCGCCGCCAAGAACGACTTTGAACTCTGGGACGTGCTCGAGGACGAGGTGTTCCCGCTCGTGCGCAAGTTCGGCCTCGACGAAGTCGCATCCAAAACGGAGTCGTCCTCAAAACGCGGCGGCAAGCGCAAGAAGAGCGAGTTACCCCTTCACATCTACGGCCCGCTGTACCCCGCCTACCTGCTCAACGCGCTCGGCCTCTTCGACACGCACTTTGCCCGCTCCTCGCCGCTGGCGCTGCACATCCTGCCGCGGGTCAAGGAGCTCGGCCCGGCCAGCTACGTGCTCGGGGTGAGCACGCCCTTCTACAACGAGCTGGCGCGCGTGCTGTGGAACCGGTACGGCGACCCCACCGCCGTGTTCAACCTGCTCGAGGAGATGCGCGTGGTGGGGCTGTACTGCGACGAGGGCACGCGCCAGGTCGTGCTGCAGATCGAACAGTTCCTCGCCTCGGTCGGCCAGGGCCACTGGGGCCCCTTCCTCCGCGAGCTCGTCAGCCTGCCCGAGTACGAGTTCGCCGTGCTGCCGCGCATTCGACACTGGATGACGACGATCAATCATCATATTGTGGAGAGGAGAAATTCACTGCAGGAGTAGGGATGCAGATGTATTGTATTGTATCATTTGTATCTATATGCACGGGGAAATGCCCTGGTCGGGGGCCACAAGCGACGTGTTGTTGTATCTGGTGTAAAACAGTGTCACGATATCTCAGCTTTTGGACATGGGGTAACAGAAGATGGACCGAGCGTGTGATGCGCTTGTCGACACCCAGTTGATTCCTCTGATTGGTTGTGTTTGTTGATGTTTGGGGGGAGGTCTCCCGGCAGGTCGCAACACGGGAGTACGGCACCAAGCGAACGCTCGTTTGCGTGGGGGCTCACCCCACGCTGAACATGATGAAAGGGTGATCTGGGGTTGCTCTTGCTGACAGCAAAGCAGATCAAGGGTTTCTTGTCGAGGAGGAGCCCGGGGTCCGACCCTCCGGCCCGCCATGTGGCCTGGATGCGTGGCTTTGAAGGCTTCATTATCGGCCCGAACTGTGCTTTACCAGAGTACCTTGCTGGCGGGCCTGAGTTGAGGAACTTGGATCTCGATCGTTCTAACCAGGGCAACTGTGGCAGTTGGTGTCCATCCCGTTCATCCCGCTCATCCGGTCAGGGGCTCCTGTCTGCGTTAGTTACCGCCTGGGTGGCGGCGTCGAGGCGAGGGAACCCTTCAAACTTTGGTTTTCGGATGTACGAGTGTACATGCAATCTCATCATTCGCTTCATATTTCCCTTGGCTGAGGATGTAGTGTTTCGGAGTAGGGCCGACGGTGTGGCCGTGGTCATCCAAGGTGGCCCCGCAACACAACCACCGCACGTCAATATGGAGTACAGCCCAGCAATCACTCTCTTTGTTAACCTTCAGATGATACGTAGGTAACCACACTAAATCAGTGTAAAAAAAAATGTACTAACGATCGTTAGCCCCAAAACTGGCAAAGGTCCACGTATGTCATCTTCGCAACTTCGCCGTCCGGTACAACTGCCGGCCCCTGACTCGGGACCGTCTGACATCGGGCCGGTCCCACCACCACGGCCGGGCCACCCATGGAAGCACGGCGAAATGGGAGCGGCGGCACAGCCTTTCTGCAATGGCTGGCTGGCACAGGCATTGTGCCCCCGCTCACCCGAATTTGTCAAACCGAGGCAAAACGGCCAGGCAAAGGCCATTCAGGAGATCAAACCGCTTTGTCCAGCGGGCAATCTAACCCCGAGGCCAGCAACCCCGGCCATCGAAGAACAAAAATCCGGGGAATGCCACCTCAGGAAGCGATCGTCAAGTTCCGGCCAGTACTTCAATCTCACGCGGCGCAGCATTCGATGTCTGCCAACTTTCCAAACAGCCACGCTCCTTTGTCCGCCGCCAGCCCACAGGGGCAAACACTCATTATATCACACAGCTCCGTCCACTCGTTACGCAGCTTCGGCACTCAATAACGGAACTGGCTTCCTCCAACCCATCACCGCTCACTGCTACTAGCTTCGAGTCACTGCTAAGAATAACCAAAAGCAAATACCAATAACAAAACAAGAACACAAAGAAAACCAAAACCAAAGTCCCACCTCAAAAATGGTCCGCCGCGCCCTAAGCCACCGCAGAGGCAGCAATCTAAAGCTCGAGGTCGACACCGCCAGCACAGCCGCCTTGACACCAACCTACGTCAGCATCCCCGTCGTCGTGCGCACCGGCACCGCCCGCCGCGAGTCGCTACCCCTTTCGCGCCACCATCTCATGCGTCGGTCCAGCAGCGTCAGCAGTCGGAGTACCGCGTCGTCGTCGAGCTTTGCGGGGAGTAGTAGTAGTAGTAATAGGGGGGCGGATTTGTATGATGGGGGGTCGGTGATTGTGGATGATATTGATGAGGAGTTGGAGGGGGAGGTGAAGGAGGGGGGGGAACTAAAGAAATAGGGTGGTTGTGTTGTGATGGGGGTCCCCGGTTGATGTGAGCTGTGTCAGGGTCTCATGATGTACATATACAGCCGACAGAATTCACTTGACTTGGATCCCACAAGCTATAGCCTGCGTTTTGTTGGTTCATTATGGGTTTGAACTACGCCGTCCACGGCCTCGAGCCCAATATCGGCTATAACCACGCCTGAATCAACTTCACACTCTTCCAGTAAGTGCAGAATACAAACTTAGCTACCCAGAAAAAAGCATTACGCAAGGCCAATATGTCCCACAAACCCGCATCCACCAACGTATGGTGTGGGAATTGAGTCAACTGACATATGCATTAATGAGACCGGGAGTGTTTACTTGAAGACAATAAACTTCGTGTTTTTCTCGTATCAAAAGTCCCAGACCGAGGAATCCGAAAGACTATCGTCATTCGCGAGACCGGGAGGGAGCAGCGGCCTGTTTCGGCATCCCGACCTCACCCAACTTTACGCCGTCTTACGAAGGTCACATAATCACACGCGGGGATGGTCACAACTGCTTGCCTAGCATCACAGTTAAATTTCGACGCTAACCATGGTCTCCTCAGGATCGTCGACCTCGGTCTGGATCGGCAAGTGGGTCTTGGAGGAAGCCGGGCCGACACAAAGTTCAAGGCATGAGGGGTAACAGGGTAACCTAGTACCGGCCCGACTTCACTCCTTCTCTTTCTATATAATACCGCCGTGCTTCCCACAAACTGGGTTTGCATCTGCCTGATAACAGAATCCATCATATCTTGACTACTCCATCACTGCCCACCACACACCACTCACCAGTTACACACTTAGACTCACCATGACATCGAACCCAGTCCTCTCACCCAACCACCAAGCCGCCCAAGCAGCCCTCGCCGCCGCCGAAGCACGCTTCATCGCCAACAACCCCCTCTCCAAAGCCCAGCATGACCTCGCCATCGGCACCCTCCCAGGCGGCAACACCCGCACCCTCCTCCACACCTCCCCCTTCCCCCTCGCCATGAGGCAAGGCAAAGACTCCTACGTCTGGGACGTCGACAACCACAAGCAAGCCCCTTAACCCGCTTACTCCCACCCCCCATCCCAACCCCACACAACCTAACCTCCCCACCCCCCCTCAGATACGTCGACCTCGTCGGCGAACTCTCCGCCGGCCTACTCGGGCACTCGCACCCGGGCCATCCAAAGCACGATCCACCACACCCTCACCCACACCGGCCTCTCCCTAGGTGCCACCACCGCGCACGAACACGCCTACGCCGCGCTCCTCTGCGCGCGCTTCCGCCTCGACCGCGTGCGCATGGCCAACTCGGGCACCGAAGCCAACCTGCACGCGCTGGCGGGCGGCGCGCCACCACACGGGCCGGCGGCGGGTGGTGGTGTTTTCCGGGGGGTACCACGGCGCGGTGTTGGGGTTTGGGGATGGGGTGCCGGGAGTCAACGCGGTCGATCGGGAGGATTTTGTGGTCGTGCCGCGGTATAATGATTTGGTGTTGGCGAGGCGGGTGATTGAGGGCGTGGAGGGGCTGGCGGCGGTGTTGGTGGAGGCGGTGCAGGGGGCGGGGGGGTGCATTGTGGGGGGGAGGGAGTTTTTGATGGGGGTGAGGGAGGCGGCGCGGGAGAAGGGGGCGGTTTTCATTCTGGATGAGGTTATGACCTCGCGGTTGGCGCCGGGGGGGTTGGGGGTGGAGATGGGGCTGGAGCCGGATATGGTGACGTTGGGGAAGTATTTGGGTGGGGGGTTGGCGTTTGGCGCGTTTGGAGGGCGCGAGGAGGTCATGCGTGTGTATGACCCGCGCGTGCCGGGCAGTTTGCCGCACTCGGGTACGTTCAATAACAATACGCTGGTTATGTCGGTTGGGAAGACGGCGTTGGGGGAGGTGTACACCCCGGAGGTGTGCGTCGAGTTCAATGAGAAGGCGGATAGGTTTAGGGAGAGGCTGGAGGGGGTAGCGAAAGGGTCGAGATTGAGTTTTACGGGGAAGGGCTCGATGATCGGATTGCATTTCACTGAGGATGGGACGGAAGATATTACGTGTGGGGAGGACGTGAAGGGAAAAACAACGCAGGATTTGAAGGATTTGTTTTGGTTTGAGATGCTGGAGGCTGGGTTCTGGGTGACGAGGCGGGGGCTTATTGCGCTGATATTGGGAACGCCGGACGAGGATCTGGATCAGTTTGTTGAGGCCGTAGGGGCTTTTCTGGAACGCCACAAGGCCATTATGATGCTGTGATATGCAGAGAGGTAGGAAAAAGGGGGACGGCATTGTCAGTGTTCGTTAAGCAGTGGTTGCCCTTTTCGCTTACATACTTGCCGTTTTAAAGAACTTGGAGAGCCAAGATTGCTTGGCCCTCTGTTAAAGTAGAGGGCATCTTGGATGGTAGTTGAGAGGAATGTTGTTGTTGAGGTTGGAGGTATCTAAAGACCAGTGCGATTATGCTTGACAACTCTCCCTTGCGAAATGTTGTTTTTATTTCCATTCAACCAGAACGCCAAAAGCGCAACCAGGCGCGAGTAAGGCACCACAACATCCATTCCAGCTGCATGTGAGCCGCGTGCCGAGGGACTTGTCTGGGTACAGTACCTACATGCGGCTAGTAGATTATCATGGCCAAGGAATGCGGACCTTGTTCAGAGCATCCCCTAGCATAGCGTACCACGACTTGCCAATCAAGCCAGCCTGCCAGTCCGCCTCATCCCAGCTCTTCTCATTCTCCGGGCCAGTCTCGCCAATCACCTTCCCGATGGTGACTTTGCAAAACGTCTTCTTCTCGTCCTCGTATCCAGCCCTGCCGGCCGTGATGCAGTGGTTCATTGGCACGGGCGCACCCTGCGTCACGGCCGTGGACCACCTAAACGCCGGGTCCGCAGCCAGCCGCACTCGGCAGAAGACGACAAAACCCCAGTCGACGGGGCAGTTCGTCACGAGCTCCTTCGTGGCCGGGTCGACCCCGGCGCCGCGGGCCCGCACGATAAAATCCTCCACCGCACCGACGACGCTGGACCCGATCTTGTTGTCCTTGAGGAACTTTACGTGCTGGGGCATCACGAGCAGGTTCCCGAGAGCGGTGAGCACCTTGTTGTGCGCGCCGATGGCGCCTGCACCCTCGTACGCCTGGTTGCCGACTCCGGACCACCCCGGGTGGTCGATGCGGATTAGGGTGGCCCCGTTGGGCTTGCGGGCGCGGGCGGCGTTGAAAAGGAGGTCGCACTCGCGCTTGTTCTGGCTCGTGAGCACGACGAGGATGTTGTTCCCGTAGAGTCCGTACTGCTTGTGCAGGTCCCCGTGCTGCCGCATGGTGTTCGCTAGGCTGGCCTGCTTCTTTTGGAGGTCGATACCCGCGATGGCGCCCTGGATGAAGGGGGTATCGAGCGGCAGCGGGGGGACGGGTTTGGCGATATCGGCCCAGCGCTGCCTCGGGGTGGGCCGGGCATTGTCGGTTTGTGCCCCGGCTTCTGGCCTAGAAGGTGTCTGTTTGGCAGGCGCTGTGGATTGCTTTGCCGATGGAGTAGTATTAGTATTAGTATTAGTATTAGTATTAGTATTAGTATTAGTATTAGTATTAGTATTAGTATTAGTATTAGTATTAGTATTAGTATTAGTATTAGTATTAGTATTAGTATTAGTATTAGTATTAGTATTAGTATTAGTATTAGTATTAGTATTAGTATTAGTATTAGTATTAGTATTAGTATTAGTATTAGTATTAGTATTAGTATTAGTATTAGTATTAGTACTGGTATTGGTACTGGTACCACTACCAGCCTTGGTCGGTTTCCTCTTCACAGCGTTCGCGCTGCCTTGTATAGGGGGATTCCGGCCGGTCATGTTCTTGAAATATGGCGTCTGTTGTTCAAAACTGCTTGATTCCGACAGATCAAGGAAGTAAATAAGGTACGTAGTCTGCGTACCTATTGAAGGTGGGCACCTTTGTAAGAGCTTAGGTAGGTAGGTAGGTGTGTAGTTGTCAAATGGCAGTAGCGTAAGGCATGCGGATATTGGAGAGGTTATATATCTTTTGAGAGGTTATATATCTTTTCGTTCATCTATGAGAAGGAACCACAACAATGTTCTTGATTATGTACACGTACCCAAGTTTTGTTGATTTGGTGAGATCGCCATTCCGTTGGTCCTCGGCCGCCCAGTGCCAGTGCCGTTACCGGCCGCTCCTTCGTGGCCCGGCCGAAGGCGAGCCCTAATGGGATTTATGCCCGCAATGGGTCGTCTCAAACTGAATCCTCTCGTTGCGCGGGTACAACGTGGCCGCTCCAGATGGGGGTTGGGCTCTAACAAGACAATGGGCTGGTCATTCCCTCTTATTGTGCGATGCAAACGATAGAGGATCCTTCAGGTCAAGCGGTACTTAGTCGTCGACCGTATGCTCATTACTTAGCCACCACTTGCCACCGTCTTCTGTCACAATGGCTTCCTTCACGTTCAAACACAGGTCTCGTCAGTTGCATGCGGTGGCAGCAAAACTAAGGTACATGTACAAACAGCAAGAAACGGCTGCCCTGTGATATCGCGGCGCGTTGGCCAAATGGTAATAACAGGGACAAACTTTGCCCAACAGGTACGTTCAGAAATACCACGTTCACAAAGCTGGACTCTTTAGGTAGGTAACTTGAGATGTAAGTTGACGTGCATTTTGGTGGACTGCACTTGGGTGGCCTGGACTTGAGCTATTTTGCTTTATTCAGATGCAAGCCCAGTTACTAGAGGGCACTTCCACCGAGATAACCTGAGGTACCTACCTAGAGTTTCGCTAATTAATGCACTCAAGGAGGTGGTAGTGAGACGCATAAGTTTATATGAACCATTATGTATGACCCTGACCCTAGCCACAGTTGGCGGAAATACAGACATTCATTGGATGTAGCATTCCGGATCACGGTGCTAGTTCGGCGTATGCAGATCTAGGAATCCGGAGGTTGTCGCAGGTTGCTGCATCGCTTCTCACAAGCAAGATTGCTGCTTACTCTCAGGGGTATTCAGTTCTATTTTTGGCTCCCAGGACTCGAAAAGGGATCCACCAAGGCGTGGCCACAGGCCCTCGAAATCCTTCCCGCCACCGTTGTAGAGGCTTAATGTTGAGCGGGTAGCTTCCTACAAGAGCAGTCCAGCCATTCCCGAGATATGTAAATTTGAATACCTCCCCACCATTGGCCGTTTTTATAGCAGGAAGGTAGATTCTAAGAGCGAGGTATCACAGCATCCCGTTAGCTACGTTAACCAACGAGGAGCTCAAATCGACTGTTGTCCTATATATTTTGCCTAAGAGCGGCCAGCATCCGTGTCAACTGTGTCTACGTACAGGAGACAGGCCCATTAATGCCCCCTTTGTCCCCGAGTTCTATCCTTCGTCGAGTCGGGAGAGGTGCTCCTGCACTATCCGCCGGAGGACTGGTAGGCTCCCCTTGGCCCACATGCGTTTTGTTGTGGGAGTCAGTCATTGATCGCGTATGCCTGGAGGAACTCCAGGTTCCTTAGGTCAAAAATGCCATGGCCTGCTCTAAGCACGGACCAGTTTTTTCTCCATGAAAAAAAACCCAAAAAACAAACCCTACAAAACGGTGTCATTTCTAACCTGTACTGTCGACTTTTCACTGCAGAACTTTGGCTTTTTCTCCTGCTCGACTTCTCTCGATAGCATCTCGAAGTCTGGCGTCATCTGCATTTTGCTTCGTCGAATTGGCATTTCGCAGTTGGTCTTGGCGGTGGAGGTGCAGGGACCGCTGCTGCTTTATTCTGGCCAATCAAATCGCCAGAAAAAAGCCGCTTACCCGCACTTTGGCATCAGAGCCCCTGTGACTCGCTGCTTCGCTCCTGCCTTTGCGTGCCTCCGTCGCGCAATCCTCGACAATCACGAACCAAGAAATCAAATTTCTGTCAAAAAGTGGCGAAAATGAGGTGTTCAGGGTCGACACCTATTATGGGTTGACTATTGCTACTAGAGCGACGCACCCGCTTCTTCGTCAGCAGCTTCAGTCTGCGCTGATTCGGCCATGACGTCCCATTCCTGGAACCACGACTACAGAGAACAACGTCAACATTGCCAAGATTGCCTGGCTCAGCAGGAAGGATACAAGCAAGGCCTACGGCTCGATAGTCGTTTACGTGACGAAGGGTAGCGAAGCAAATTGCTTCTTTGACGCACAAAATACACGGAACCTATCAGCTCTTTGAGATTACGCCACAGAGGTTAATCTTTACGGGATCTGATTACTGAAGCCCCTAGATGACGATATAGCTTACTGGAGACTCAAGAATGCGGCGTCATACATCGGCGATGAGGTCAAACCGGTGCTAGAGGCCACCTTTTTTACACCGCGGTGCTCCATTTCCCAATCCAAGGAACTCGATACGTTCTTTCCATCCCGGTTTTCTGACCTAAACTACAATCATCTCCTGATACTGTTTATAATTCCATTGCAGTCAAGATGGCTTCTTCTTCCGCCTTTAACAATTACATCGTTGACTCCGCTATGGGGCCTACCTGCAGCCGGCAAGTTCCTCCAGGCTCCTTTGGCGTGCCCGCGCGCAGCGGGCACGGTCACTCCTGTCTTCGCCAACAATAACGTCTGCTTTCCAATCGTAACAGCCACCTCCTTATAATCCTAAATCAAATCTCAGACTGATACATACGACCATAGGCGCCAGAAAACACGGGATCCCGTCCGCTCTCCCCTAGTTAACCTCGCGACCGCTGAACTAGTAGTTGGGTCGGTGACGACCAGCGAATCCTCGGTGTTGTATGTTTTGTTATTCGCATCTGTCTTTTTTTTTATTCAGGATTCGAAATGAGTGAGATTGAGGTCGAGGTGGGGAGGTGGATGTGGGACGAGGGAGGGTTGCATGATGTGCTAAGTTCCAGACTACTTCACTGCTAGGGACTTAGAGCCTTCTGTCTGTGCTTGCCAATTGTAATGCGGCAGTTACAGACGTGGCGTGAAGCATAAATGCCAATTTGTTTCGGTCGCCGTTATCAGGCCTCCCCGACGACTGGTCTGGACAAAGATTAATTAACATACATAAAGGGGCTCGGATGCCGGGGCTGCCGCGGATGGTGCGAGGAGTATTCAGCACAAACGCATTGTCCCTGTCATCCTTTGTCCTGGATTCCCGTTACAATGCTGGATTTGTAACACGAACTAGCGCCTCCGTCGCTCTGCTTCATCGAGAGATGCCCGCATTCGTTGACTGAAAGTCACATCCTAGGAACCTGGGTCTTATAATGAGCAATATGGCTGGATGTTCGTTGGGTAATACACTGTATCAAATTTTGAAGCAGACCTAGCATTGAAGTGGTTCGACTATTATTGACCGAGTGTTGTGGACTCGTGCTCAGGAGAACAAGGGCTTTGTTGGCCTTATTCCTTTCTTCGAGTCATCGCAATAAAATACCACAATGCTTGCTTCGGCATGCCCCTGATTTCTCAGTTGGCATATTGTTTGAACTACCGGAATATTTGTTAGGAAACATTTGATTAAGCTTCAAGCGTTGCGTCCTCGACGAGAACATTCAACAAATCAGAGTTTGTAGCAATGGCGCACCGTCAGCAAAGAGAACGGGACCCTCAGCGTAACAACTACCACAATACGCAAGGGGGACAATCTCAGAAATACAACAACGGAAATGGGCGCGACAACCGTTCGAATCAAGGGCGGAATCAACAAGAGGGCCCATATCACGGCGACGGATGGCATGACAGCCGCCAGAATAATACACGAAATCAACCTCCTCATAATAAAAACGAGAAGGGTCAATATGGTAAATACAACCATAAACCCCGTCAGCAGCGACATGGGAACTATCAACAAACTCGCCAATATTACCAAAATAACGAAGGGGGTTATCAGCAAAATGGACGGCAAGGCCATAGGCCAAAGGGGCCTCACCAAAACGACCAACAGCAGGGCAAAAGAGGCAAGGGAGTACGTTGGGAAGATGAGGAGAAACAAAGCCAATTTCAACAAAGAAAGCGGACTGAGCCGTGGGATGCTCAACAGAAACCCCGGCATCCAGACCACCGTCAACAACATCCAACAAAGCACCAAAACCAGCCCCGTCGGAACCCTCCAAACCAGCGACAGCAGCACCATTGCGGGCCGCCAGAGATTTGGCAATACCAAAGCGGTGGCGAGGCCGATTTGGATACGTCGGAGGCAGAAGACGAAGTGTTAGAAGACGCTCCCCCAGTACAACAAGAGCCACATACTCGGCATCCACAACCGCAACCGGGGGCACCCGGACCTAAGAACCAAACATGGCAGGCATGGCAGCAACAGCAACAGCAACAGCAACAGCAACAGCAACAGCAACAGCAACAGCAACAGCAACAGCAACAGCAACAGCAACAGCAACAGCAACAGCAACAGCAACAGCAACAGCAACAACAACAACAGCACCAGCACCAGCACCATCAACAACAGCCGGTGTACGAGGAGTGGGCCCAAAATCATGACCAAATCCTCAGGGAGAGTGTCGACAGCTGGGAACGGATCCAGAGGATCCGAGTCGAGCAACAACGCGAATCACTATACCACTTGTATTGCGAGACAGAGAGGGCTATGAGGCTGCTGGGCCAGCAAGATCAAAAGAAGGCCCAGCATCCCCTGGCTCACCCACCACTACAAGTACACACTTTCCAGGAGCAGCAGACCTCACTCCCCGAATACAACTTGGAAAGCTCACTACCCCAGTCCTGGGAGCGCCCCCTTTCCTCACAGGCACCTCCCAGAAGTCCACCACCGGCCCCCCACCAACACACATCCTCCCTTCTCCAACCGCAACCCAACTACGTCACCCGTCGCACGACGTCCTCCCACTACAGGCGGATGGAACTACAGGCAAGTGAAGATCTGAGCTGATATGCATCACGTGGGCCGCCCTGCGAGGGACCTGGGAACTCAATTTAATCCCATCGAGCACTGTGCCACATAGCAGCGTGTTCATGGTTGAATTCCGCCTCGAGACGGCCTCGTCGACTGCGCCATTCAACTTGAACTGAGCAAATTACAAGATACGTAATCTGCATGGTCCCATGTCTTACCAAGCCGCGGAACCTAAAGAAGTAACACACGGCCCCAGGCAGTTCCATCT